ATCAAAGTCAAGTTAGAGACTTTAATCAAAGTGCTCATGGGAGACACTCCAAGTCTATATTCTGTATATAAGTCTTTTTAATGTATTCTTTTCATGTTTTTAGGATGTTTGTGAGGTGTCTGTTAAGTGTTCTCAGTTCCATTGAGTGTTAAGGAGTTGCATCCAAGTTTATCCAAGGAGAAGTGGTGCAAAAAGAAGTGAACAAGCGAGGGTGCTAAGGGTTTGGATCCGATCAGGTTAACACCGGGTCCAGCACCGGTCAAGGACACCTCGGTGTGGACACTTTCTCTAAAATGTGTCCAGCACCGAGGCCAACATCGAGATAATGTGGCCGGTGTAATCCCAGACGGAAGCCGTGTTGTCCAGCACCGAGGCCAACATCGAGATAATGTGGCCGGTGTAATCTCTGACGGAAGCCATGTAATCCTACACCGAGGACAACATCGGCACACACCTGGCCGGTGCTTAACCCAGGTGGACCATGTTCTGTAGCACCGAGGCAAGCATCGAGGAGCAGCGGTCGGTGCTTAACCCAGGCAGTGGCGTTTCATGCAACAAACCGACCAACATCAGGCACAATATAGGCGATACAGCGGCCCAACGATAACAAGTTCAATACACAGTGCCTTCCAAATAGTTTAGGAACATAAAGAGAAGACAAAAACTGATCAAATACAAGTACTGGAGATTCAGGAAGATAAAAGCAACATAGTCCAAATACTAGTTATTCAGAGATTCAAGAAGAAACCACCACCAATCATTGGTATAGAGTTCGTATGCAGCTCCTCCTGGTGTAGACAATGTAATGTAAACATAATTCCACATTTCTCGTAAGAGGTTTAGGCTTGTTGGCTTAATATACGTTAAGCCAAGAGTGATCGGAGACAATGTTGCTGTAGTTACGATTGTTGCTGTGTGATCGGGGTCGGTATTCTCCTTGTAATCCCTAAAAGTTATGCAGGACATGCACCAATAGATGCTGTTAGCGAGCTTGAGAATTTTGGCTTCAAATTCGGCATTTCCATTACCTTTTTCTCGAATATACATTTTTGCTGCCCTTTCTGCAGCATTAATTGATTCTCTAACGAATAAGCTTCCTTCCAGTTTGAGTACATCACTAGCATTAGCTATATGGTGATGGGTTTTGCCCTTGTTCATCTTTCGAATCATAATTTCTGCTTTTCTTAGCTTCGCTTCAATGTTGGCGTCGTCCTGAAGCATTTTTGTAGTTTGAAGCTCAGCCAACGCTTTATATCCATTTTCATACTTTTGCTGTTTCTTTTCTATATCTACAGTTTCATATTTCAATAATTGTTCGAGAGCATTACACGCAAGATCGACTCTCATGGGCAGGGTCAGTGAGTCTGGCTGATGAAAAGTGTTCTCCATGTGATCTATGATCTCTTGAAGTGTGCTTGACTGGTATCTGCTCATGATAACGGTTCTCTTCTTAGTAGACTCCTTTGAATACCTCTTATTTCAGTGAAAATCAGTTACCATTTGTTGTTATGTTAACCGACTGGTCTGTTAAACAAAGAGAAGGTTATTAGAAATTACATTATTGATATCTTTATTGTGATATCTATGAAATAACATTTATATTATTGTCATAGCTGAATACTATATTCGGTCTAGAGGAGGGATTTCTAGAATCGAGTTTCATCTTGATTGTCCACGAGCCAAAACTTTGGTTAGAAGGTAAACTATTATATGCACCTTATTTTAAATATAATCAAATATTTGGTTTGATATGTTTACTTACAATAATTGATTTATTTGCAGGTTTTGGAATATCCAGAATAAACCTACAAATGTCATTAATTTGGGTTGTAATGATGATGAGGCAAGTCCATCTTCCGTGAAGCCTAGAAACTGATCGAAAATCATATTTGAGATTTCAATATGTTTATTATTTACTTTTTTATAAATGTCTTTCTTTCTTTGTATCTGACATGAATTTACTTATGGGATGTTTGAACTTTGCTTTTTATTGAATTTACTATTGAGTTTATGATGTAACAAAAATGCTTTTCATTATGATTTTGTTGTCAATATTTATATGAACTCAATAATCTGAAATTTACTTTTTAATACATGATTTATAAATATGAACTCAATAATCTGAAATTTACATTTTAAATGTTTAATAAAACTATATATAGACGGTTATGTTCTTTGGCAAAATTGTATTCATAATATAATAATAATGCATGTTTTTGTCAAATATTTAATTTATTGTAAATGTAACCAATTAATTTCATATCGTTTGGTAGTTGGATTATTGTTGAATACATAATTTTAGGACATGTGCATGCAAGGTGACAATATTGACTTGATTTGATCGATATCTGATTTCAGCTTTTCATTTATTGCTATTTTCGTTGGAAATATTTTTGCATGTATAGATTCACGTCCCATAAAATTCACTTTGATTTATATACATTTTGGTTACTAAACCAACTTATACTCAATTTAATTTTGTAATATATAAAATATTCATCTCGATATGAAAGTATATATAGTTTCTTAATTTTTATGAAAATTAAATGTTACACAACTTATTAATATTGAAATTTAATTATATAAAGGGATTAATATAGCCTCTGTATCTTTGCATAAATATTAATTGTATTTGATAAAAATATGTTTGTATCGTTACATCTGTAACTTCCTTTTTCTTCTTTCTGAATATAAACTGATACATCTACTGACAACCTCTTACACCGATTGAACTAGATTCGGTTAACTTATTCCTTTTTTTAACAAAAGAAATATTCCATTTTTGTATTTATTGCAATTAAAATTATTCCAACCATCGCGACCTTACTCAATAAATTTACTACATCTTCTATATATATAGCGTACCTCTGTTGGATAATAACTTCATCCTTAACATAGAGAAAACCTAAAAAAAGCATTAATATCTCTGCATAAAAAATGGCCGACTATTCAATGGTTAAAGATCTCACACCATGGGAGGAGTTCAAACAGACAATCAAAGTGAAGGTTCTCAAGAGATGGGATACGGTTGATTCAGAAGGCCATGAAGGAATGTATTTCATCTTGGTTGATGAAATGGTAAGATTCGTTATTGTACACAGAATTCAATTATTTTGTGGTTGTTAATTGTTGCTTATTTAACTAAATATTAAAATTTGCTAGGGATCTCGAGTTGCTGCTATGGTTAACGACTTCAAACTATCTTTCTACAAAAGGGTTTTCCAAGAAGGTTCTTGGCTTCGACTTTCACAGTTTCGCTTGGTTAACTCCGGTTGGAATGAAAGAACCACAAATCATGCTTACAAGATCATTCTCAATCAGAGTTCAAAGGTGAATTATATCAGACCTTTGAGCCAGGATCTTTTCATCAAAATCGTTGATTTTCCAGGTGTTTACAACCGTCCTTCTCACTACTACCCGATCGGTATGTTTCCTTTTAATAATATTCTGTTTTTGTATAAAATGCATACGTCTCTTTTTGTTTATCATATATTCACAACAAAATAAAATAAAGTTATGTTATATAGACATGCATTGATTATTGGGTTTTTATTCAGATTTGATGGGTATTTTTGATAAGGAGATTGGCAATGTTGAATTCGATTTCAATGATGAGAACAGTGTTCCAACCCTACATTTTCGTATCAGTGATATAGAGTAATGTCTTCTACTATTTTTTATTTGATTTTATGATTATAGAAATTTCTATTTAGCAAGAATTTTTCTTTATCTCTAGGGGTAACACAATGAACTGTGTCGCACATGGTGATTTGGCTTATGATATAAATCAAATTGCGAATTACTTAAAGGACCATATTCCATATGTGTATTGACTGATTGGGTTGTTAAGAAAAATGAGAGTAAGTAGCCATCTATTATATTAAAACAGAAGCACATTTAGTACTTGCTTCCAAACACTCCCAAATTTTTTTAAAAAATATTTTGAGAAACAGTTTTAAAATTATCCTAAATTATTGTAATATTATTTAAAAACATATTTTTTTTTTATATAAAAAAATCCGAAAATTAGATATGAATTTAGATAACTAAAGATTTCCTTAAATATAGGTCATACTTAATTTAAAATTCAAACTATTTTTGTAATTAAATTTAATTCTAAAAATGATATTAATTTAAATTATTTTATACTTCTTTAATTATAGATCAGATTTAATTTAACATTTGAAAATTTAAATAATATTTTTAGAAAAACAAATATGATTAAAAGAATACATTATTGTATTTTTTAATCATATTCAATCAGAGTAAAATTTCACATATTGAAAACTAATAAATATTAATATTATATGGTAATTTGATTGGGTGGATTAGTTTTTTTTATATAATTGCAATCTTATATTCAAAACATGCAAGATATTAAGATAAATATTATTTCAAATTAGTAAATAATTATATTATATAATAATATGATGGACGTGTTAGAATTATGGTTTAGTAACTACAGTTTTTTTGGATTAATAGATAGAGTGAGTTAAAATGATCGGGTTAGAATTATGTTTAGTAACTACAGTTTTTTATAATAACGATCTTTTTTCGATTAATAGAATGTTCAGGTTAGAATTATTTTTTTATGATCATGGTCATAATATAGTAGAAAAAATTAAAAAATAAATTATATCTAAACACAAAAATAAATCTTCGTCATTTATTAAAAAATTATATCTATAAAAAAACATAAATAACATTATAAATTTTGATTTAAAAAATTTTCCGTGCGAATGCACGGGGTAAAATCTAGTTATGTATTTATTTTTTCTTTGATAATTTATTTTTTAATCAAATTGTTTTATTCCTTATAATTTCCTTTTTTATATAGATGAAATTACGATCACTGATTTTGAAGAAGGAAAGCTCTCACGTTTCTTGG